TACAAAAACAATGAATTGTGGATCACTACATCAAAAATTAATGATGTATTGTATGGTGACTAACATAACATAATAAAATAAAATTAAAAAATAAAATAGTATACTGTGAAAAAAAAATAATGGCTTTGTGGGGGTGGGGGGTGGAATAGAAGTTATAGTTCAATATATATGAACTATATATGCTGAATATACATGAATATATCTGTATATATAAATATATAGAAAAAATAAAGGGTTTTATGTAATAATATGATATCTTCATCAAAAATTTGTCATTTGATAATATTTTTTAAACTAGATAATTACAGATTTTTTGAGGATTGAATTGTAGCATGAGAAATTAAAGTTAACCAAAGTTCAATAATTTTAGAGGATTTGGAGTTCCCACTATTCTCAATCCAATACGATGTGTTTTGTAGAAAGTAACAGAAGTTACCCCCCAAAATCATTCTCTGACCTTAGGATATAGTTGGAGAGGAATATTTTAAAAGAAACATAGACAATTTTCATATAAGGCTAAAAATAAATTTAGCCTGTGAAATATGGGGCGCCTGGGTGGCTCAGTCATTAAGCATCTGCCTTCGGCTCAGGTCATGATCCCAGGGTCCTGGGATTGAGCCCCGCATCAGGCTCCCTACTCAGCAGGAAGCCTGCTTCTCCCTCTCCCACTCCCCCTGCTTGTGTTCCCTCTCTTGCTGTCTCTCTCTCTCTGTCAAATAAATAAATAAATAAAATCTTTTAAAAAATAAAGTGTGAAACTTGTATTATATAGAGAGCACATTTTATGCGTCACATATGTGTTAAGTGTATTGTGTACTTTGGAGGAGTCCTTAGGTATTTCACTACAGAACTGCAGTCTGAGAACAATATGTAGACTAGTCCAGGGTATGTAAATGAGAGAAGTGAGATTAAGTTGAGAAGGGAGATTGGATCCACACTGTGGCAGACCTCAGAAGCTAGAATGCTAAAAAAAAAGGTATTTATTTTACACATCTATAAGGGGCCATCAGAAGTTTTTAGCCAAGGAGTACCTGGGAGACTCAGTTGGTTAAGCATCTAACTCTTGGTTTTGGCTCAGGCCATGATCTCATAGGTTGTGAGATCAAGTCCCAAGTCGGGCTCCATGCTCAGCAGGGAATCTGCCTGAAGATTCTCTCCCTCTGCCTCTCACCTGTGCTCGCTCTAAATAAATAAATAAATAAATACTTTTAAAAACAAGTTTTCAACCAAGGCAATGATGAGATAAAAATTAGGCTTTAGAAGAATTATTCTACCTGTGGTATAAGGAATTGACTGGATCAGGGAGAGATGTGAGTCAGAGTTTTCTGGAAAAGCACAAGTATGCTAGCTTAAAGGTAACAAAGTCCTGGATTAGTATTGTAGAATAACCAGGAAAGGAAGGGGTTGAAGTGAAGATGAAGATACAGGATTTTGTGGTTGATTGGATGCCAAGTGATGGAATGGAAGGAATCAAAATGACTCCTGAGTTTTAAACTCAAATAATTGAAAGAATAGTTTGGTTCTCAACAGGAGGAAGCCAGTTCAAATGAGAAACTGGTTTCAGGGGCAAGATGATATAATTTGTTTCGTGCATATTGAATTTGAGTGTCTCATAGATCTGCCGTGATACTATTAGGCTGAGGGAATCTTGGGTCCATACTTTACAAGAGGTGTCTGGACTGGAGCTACAAGTTTGAGAGTCATCTACTTGACATTACAGTGGACACTGGAGATGGTAGAAAGTACCAGGGAAAGGGCAGAGAGAAATGAAAGGGAAGAGAAAGAGCTGCTAATAAAGAAAGGAATTTCGGAGTGTTGAATTTGAAGGAAGGAGAACATTTCCAAGAACATGAGAGTTAAAAATGTCAGCAATTGTAGGAAACTTGAAAAACTGATAAAGGGCCTTAAAGACTGATAATTACAAAGTCTTAGTGACTTGTAGGATTATGGTGGTAGAAGTCAGACCGCAAAATAGTAAGTAAAACAGTAGTCATAAGATTTATTGACCATTCCCAGCAGAAATTAATAATTATCCTATGCTGGGATTGTAAAATAGGAAATATATCTATACTCATTAGAGACCGTTTATTCAAGTAAGTGGATGTAGTCACAGGTTTATCCACCTTAAGGCACCATACAATTCTCTGTAATTCTGTTTCTGAAACTCTAGTCCCAGTTACAGTATTGGAAACCTGGTAGTTATCTACATATAACAGATGGTTCTATTTTGCCAAATTTAATTAGCATTTATCATCTCATGTTAACAGTTTGTCATGGTCCACTGGGAGAAGAGAAATCTGTAAGTACAACTTTTCTCTACTTTAATCCAAATTTCCTGTCATTCCTGTATTTGAATAGAAGTCTAAACTTGGTTTGTGTCTGTAGCCTGGAGAGGAATGGACTGCCAATTGTCACACATGCACCTGTACTGATGCAAATGCTGTGGACTGTAACCTCAAAGAGTGCCCTTCTGCACCCACATGCAAAACTGGAGAGAGACTTGTAAAGTTCCGAGATAATGACACCTGCTGTGAAATCGGATATTGTGGTGTGTATTCACAATACATTATTTGAATTGAATAGTTGTTTACTTATTCACGTATTCAAGAGATATTTACTGAGCTTCTAATATGTGTCAACTCTATGCTAGATGGGTGTGATCAATAAAACAGAATCGTACTTGCCTTCTTAAAGCTCACTATCTTTGGAGTGGAGGAAACCCAGAATTAACAATTATGAATATAATCAGATTAAAAGGAGATGATGGTGTTGTGGGAAGAAACATTTTAATCAGTGGATAAATATGATCCCATATACAGTTTCTGGTTTATAAATAAAAACAGAATTATGTTTATTTTAGGATAAAATAATGTATTTATTTTTCAGAACCAAGAACTTGTTTGTTTAACAGAATTGATTATGAGGTAAGGCCATTTTTACTTTAAAATATTTGTATTTGCATAATTATGAATAAATGGCAGGCTCTTTCAGCTTATAATATGGAAAATTCATAGGTAATGGTGGAGCAGAATCTGTTCATTTTTTTTCTCCTATATTCATTTCAAAAGGAGCATCAAATGTAATACTCAGCATGGCTCAGTTCAAAGGGGGAAAATATATTTAATCATTAACTACCTAACTTCTGAATAAAATTTCCCAGGGGTCTGACCAGATGGAGAAGGCACACTCTGTGACATTCAAATCAATGAACAGAGTTGAACTGTAATTATAACCAGAAAGATCAGATGACCAAACTGTCAGAGATCAAATGAAAAACCCCCAAAGACTAGAACCCCATTATGTGAATATAGCAACACATATATTCAGGGCTGGATTTTGACAACTGATTTGGCATTTTGGAAAGTAATTTAGCTTTTTAGAAAAAGTACCAAGAAGTCATAAAACCCAGATGGTTCTCATATTGACAATACATTTGAACTGGTGATACTAAATATTAAAAAAGTCTAAAATAAAATCTATGCAGTATGTTAAGAAATATATAAAACAGAGCCAATGAGAGTTTTAGCTCAATAACTTATTTATCACACTGAAATTCCTGTCTGGGTTTCTATATTTTTAGTTTCCAAAGGTGATAGTGACTTGAGAATCTGTGCTAGTTTTTAAAAATAAAATACGATGATGTTTAAAGAACAAAAGGAAAGTTTTACCTCTAACCATTTATATGCAAAATAGTTAAAATAACAAAATTCCAGTTTACTGGAAAGTTGATTTTGCAGTTTGAAATACGATTTCCCAAACTGGAGTTTGAATTTTGAACATAAATTATTTTTAAAGCAATCCAGAGAACTTTAAAAGTATAGGAACACAAGCAGAAGTAGGAACACAAGCAGAAGCAGAAGTACGATGTCTTGTGGGATTGTCATTTGTGGTAATCTGATAAAACTATTTCGTACCATTTTTTTCTACTTAGATTTTTTGTTTTCCCTCAAACTTAGAGCATAACAATTGGTTGATTGACTGCTCACCATAAAATAACCTTTCTTGAAATACTTGAAAAATAGAGTAACTGAGTAGATGAATACAGTGAGTATGTGGATCTTCATTTAAGGATTGAGAATCTTGACACATTCTGTGCTCTCAAGGAGTCACACAGACTTATTCATGGAAGTAGAAATCTTTTAATCCACTTTTTCTTAAATATTAATTAATGACTGAAAGCATCTTTGGAAATTCATTAAACATTATGAATTTTTTTTTTTTTACAGATTTTATTTTCAACCTCAAAAAGAAATCAAGGTGAATAATTACTTTGTTCTCTCTTCCTCCCTGCTTCTCAGATTGGTGCTTCATTTGATGATCCCAACAACCCATGCATCTCCTATTCCTGCTACGACACTGGTTTCGTTGCAGTGGTCCAAGACTGCCCAAAGCAGACCTGGTGTCCAGAAGTAAGTCATCTTCTTAAGTAATGATCAACAACACCCACTTCTTTTTTTTATTTTTAATTTTTTAAATTTTTT